CTTTTACAACTTGTTTAAAGTCTTCCCTTATCAAATTGAATCTGATTTTTTAGGAGGGGGGTTTACAGATTTTTACAGAATTTTCACCTTTAATCTTTGTGGCACAGTGGGTCAGCAGATGGCAAAGTCAGCAGGTCCCACTAGCCGCTCCCTACTTGGGAGAAAGATAAGGCTACAAAGCCTTAGAAACCCTATTGGGCTCACTATTGAGTCCAGGCAGTGGGTGTGTTTGTTTTGGTTTAGTAGCCAATTTAGGAGAATATAAAAGACCAGCAGTCATAACATAGCCATGGAAGGAGATAAACTTTATGCAAATGTTTTCACAAAGCAGTATGGAAATTTTTGTGTAATTCTCTATTTGTTGTGTGAAGCCTTTGAATGAGTTGCCATAACAATGACCTAGTAAAAGCATCCTTGCAAATGCGCGGTTGGATTAGTGGGTGGGACAGATAAGAGAATCTACATAGGGAGGAAGAAAAAGCACCAAATAAAACCCTTTTCCTTAAGAATATATATTTAAACAAACCTTCATGTCCTTGGCATTACATAAATATTTCATCAGTGTATGTGGACTGGTATATGGGGGCTTGGAAAGCAGTTATTTTCATTTTTTAAAACTAAACAAGAAATTAGGGGAACGTTGAGACAAGTAGAATAGGCCAAATAATGGCTTAAATAGGCTGTGCTAGAGACAGGAACGTTTAGCCTTGCTTCTCACTCTGGAAAGACATGCTAGAAGAGGGTCAGGGTGTGAGAACCAGAGTGACTTAGATGTAAGTGCTGACTTTACCTGTTACTAAGCCTTTCTGAGTCTCATTTTTCTCATTTGTCCAATGTGAATAGATATATTTTATTTAGTGTATGTAGAGTTTATGCATTTCTGAATTTTATGCATTCTAAAATAGCTACCGAGAGACTACAATAAGCTAGAAGTTTGTTGTCCATGCAGTAGTGACGTTCACATGGAGCTTATAGTCTTCTGTTGGGGTGGGGTCAGATAATAAACAGCTCTGTAACATATTGGATGGTAAGTGCTCTGAAGAAAGTAACTCAGAGAAAAGGATAAGAATCCATCGGGGTGGAGAAAGGCATTGTGTGTTGTGGGTTGTATGGTGGTGGTGGTGAATGCTGTTTACGTTAGGATCTCTGGGAAGTCCTCTAATTTGAACAGAGACCTGAAAGAGAAAGCTGTGCACTTGTGGAGAATGAGGGTTCGTGGCAGAGTGAGAACAATACTTGCAAACCTTCTGAGATGGGAGCGTATTTGCTGTGTTCTGGGAGCGGTGAGGAGATCAGTGATGCCAGGGCAGAAACAAATGGCCAGAGATTAGGTATTTGGGGCCATCCAGATGCCTTCCTTGCAGGGCATCTAGGGCATTGAAATTCATTTTGAATGAGATGGGAGGGCCTTAAAGAAGAGTGACATAGCTAAAGTTTTTTTACAAGTTAAACTCTGACTTCTGTGTTAAGAAGAGACCAAGCAGGGGGAACAGAAGGGGAGATTAGAGAAAGGGGGAGTCAACACCAATGAGTACAAGAAGGAAGAAAAGATTCCAAAGTGGATTGTGGCGACTTTTACACAACCCTTCTGGATATGATTGAACTGCAGCATTGTATGATATATTAATTATGGCTCAATTAAAAAAAAAAAAGAACAGACCAGGCAGGTTGAAGGTCATTATGGTGTGAGACTAGCATAAAAATCATGGGGAGCGTGGATGGTGGCCTGGATTAGGGTGATAGATGTGGAAGTGGTAAGGTTCTGTATGTATTTCCAAGGATTTCCTGTTAGAATCTATGGGGGCTGGGGAAGAGGTGAGGAATGGACCTCTCCCAAATCAAGGAACTTTTTGGTCAGTCTGAAGGATGGGAACATCAAGTGTGAGTGAAGAGAGCAGATTTATGGGAAGCAGAGTGGGAATCAAACCTTTTTTTAAAAAATAGAATTTATCAATAAAAATGGAATGAATCAGTATTTGGAAAGTTTTGATTTTTAGTGATTATTATGTTGACATAGCTGTTATCAGTGACTATACTCAGTTTTTTATAATAGATTTGAAGTATAATATTTCAAAACCTTTAACTATAATAATTATAAAGCTTAAATGCTAACTATACATTTTTAAATGAAACATGTACATAATTATGTTATTTTAGGCATTCAAATGAAGCTTTGTTTTGAATATGATGAATTTGAAATGGCTGCTAAATGGTGAAATCAAAGAGTGATTTGCATATGTGTAGGTGTGGTCTTTGGGGAGGACTTTGGTGCTGGAAGCACAAATGTGGGTAGAAATTCAGGTGTTTAAATGCGTGTGTCTAGAGATCATCAAGCAAGTGACCAAAGACAGGAGGGTAGAAGTCCAGCACTCAGAGCGCCCCTAGATTGGAGTGCATGGAACAGACAGTGTGATAGGAAGAAAGCCTATAGGATGAAGACATTTTAAGACTTAGGAAGTGATCCACTGTGTCAATTACTGTTGATTGGCCAAGTAAGATGTTGGTATTGTTATTTGCTTTTGAGATGGCTCTGAGGCAGGACAGAATTAACAAGTGGACTTGACAACATGAAGGTAGTTAAGGTTTTTCACAGCAGATTTGGTGGAATGAAAGGAGGCCTGATGGCACTGTGGAATGCTAACACAAAGTCAGCAGTTCAAACCCACCAGCTGTCCCTTGGGGAAAGATGCTCTCACAAACCTTTACAGTCTCAACAACCTAAGGGGGCAACTCTACTCTTTCCTATCTACACTCATTATGAGTTGAACTAAAGATAGTGGGTTTGGCATTGTTGAAATGAAAGACTGACTTGTGGGGTTCAGGAGAGAATGGAGGAAAAAATGTGGAGACAGAATAAGACAACTCTTGAGGGGTTTGGTTATAAAGGGAGCAGAGAAATGGGACCTCTAGAAAGGCTGTGTCCTTTCAGGTTTGCAACACTCTATCTACCACTCACTCCTTGTCACACCAGGTCTGCTTCATTCACTTATCACCTGACAGGCAGGCCCTTGTGAGTGTTTTGAGATCTCACTTGTTCTGAACAGGTTTTCTAAGACTGTATAATGAAAGCAACTGGTACAGGACTATACATACAGCTGTTATTACTAAGAAGAGAAATAAAATGAAGGCATCGACATGTTGCACAGGCAATTGATGTCTGAGGATATCCTTTGTATTTTATTTTATTTATTTATTTATTTATTTATTTATTTTCCGTTCACGTATGTAGTATTTGAGCAATTTCTCAGTCTCCTTTGTGGGTACAGGAGCTTTATATTTTTGATGTACATCAGTATGGCACAATAACATATGATCTTTCAAGTTTTAAATTCAGTGAAAAAATAAGTGTTTAAGCTAAGCATTTTTTAAAAGCCACAATGGGACCTACAAAGATACTAAGGTTAGTTCCTCTTTTCAAATTTATACTTTAGTAGAGAGTAAGTAGGGAGCCCTGGCGGTATAATGGTTAAGATACTTGGTTGCTAACTAAAAGACTGCTTTATTCAAACCCAGCTGTTGCACTGTGGGGGTGGGGGATGTGGTCTTCTATGTCTGAAAAGATTTACAACCTTGGAAACTACAGAGCCATTTGACTCTTTCTGTCGGGTTGCTATGAGTCAAAATTTGCTTGATGGCAGTTGGTTAAGTTTTTTGCTTTCTGGAGGTCAGCTCGCCACCATGGAGATGTTTCCAACCCATACTGCCCCTATAGGACAGGGTGGAACCATCCCTGTGGGTTTCTGAGACTAACTCTACAGGAATAGAAAGCCTCGTCTTTCTCCTAAGGAGGGGCTGCTAATTTTTAACTGCTGACCTTGCGGTTAGCAGCCACTACCTCACTAGGGCTCCTCTTCACCATTCTTAAGGTGTGAGTATCCAAATAACCACCACATTGCGGAAATGAGGAATCAAGAAAGTCCTCCCTGAGAAGGTGGTATTTAAAGTGGGCCTCTGTGTATTGCTCGGGTTCTTTTGGTGTTAGGGGCAGAGGGCTTTACAGAAAATAGTAGAATTAATGATGCCAAAAAGCTTAGTGGCAGGCAGGACAACCATCTGTCAAATAAGGAAGAGAACTGGTTAATGCAGCCTTCTCTGTGGCTAGTACACAGTGCTGGGTTATCATTATAATGAACCATGTGCAAAGCATAGAATACAGCCCAAGCCAGAATATGGCTATAAACTATGGTTCATTTAGTTTTGTATTAGGAATATAGTAAGTTTGAGTGTTCCTGGGTGACCTAAATGGTTAAACTGTTGGCTGTTAGCCAAGGCACCTTGGAAATAAAACTTAATGATCTACAGCTCAAAGCTCAGCCATTGGAAACTTTATGGAACACAGTTCTACTTTGACACCCATGCAGTCACCATGGGCTAGAACTTGACAACAACTGATATAGCAAATCAGTTCATCATCACTAACTATAGTTCTCAGATTTCTGAGTACGAATATACTTGTTTCTGCAAAAATGTTCTAGTTTTTAATTTTATTTTACAGGAATTTAATAAGTGATTTCATATCTTTACAAACTAATACTTTGGGGAGTATAACAACTTTATTGGCCATTTCTAACATTCAAAATGTATTAAGACATCATCAGTTTTAATCCTGAGACACGATAGTACATATTTTCACTGTTTAGTTACAGTAAAACTTGAGAGCCGGAACCTGTGTTAACAGGGAAACTTGTTGGCGAAGGAAAACTCTAATTTATTTTCCACTAACAGAAAGTAATGGGAAAACGGTAAGCCTACATCCTGTTGGAGGTGGATAAGTTGCGACTCAGAAACACAAGGTAGTCTCGTCAAGTTCTGGCTATCTCTTGAATGTATGTCTGGAATATATGCCTTCAGTTTAGTTATAAGAATCGTTTTTAACAAATTCAAAGGAAAGAATTTATGTTGTAAAATATTAAATTGCATAGTTCATCCTTCCTCAGTAAAATATCCTGGGATTTTTAGATAAATGATCAAATATGCCAAAGTCATTTCTCTGTTTTTAGGAAATGGAGTTGTTCTTTCCTTCAAGTGGAGGTTGTGGGCCAGCCAACACAGCCAAATTTACAGATTGCACCTGTTGCATTATTAAGCCCCATGCTATCAATGAAGGTAAGTACTCTGTTGAATACTATTATGTTAATAGTTTATCTAATAGTTTGTTTTGTTGATGCTTATTGCTTTGATATATTGTACCTGTGGAAATTAAGGTGTTCTGTTCATATTTCCAGGTACAACAAATTATGTGGAGAAATCTAATTTTTTAAAGGTATTACCTAAGTTTTAAATGGGTGATTCCTTGACTCATAATATACTTCTAATCAGATAACTGTGACTATCTAATAGCATTTAAATGGCATGCCTGATAAATAATTTAGAACATCATTTACCATATCTATAAGAAGTATTCTCTTCCTGAGAAAGTGTGAAACATTATTTTCAGTTCTTGGTAAAGCATTCCTTTGATTTATGATGGTAAGTCAAAAGATATTGGTCCCAGGTCCAACTTCTTGCATTTATGGGTTTATTCCAAGTAAAACATGTCTCTGTGATCATTAGTGGATGGCTCCCAACAAGCTCTCTTGGTAATACACATGGCTACGTTTCACTAAGGTACCTTGAAAAAAAGTCCAGAACTATTGAATTGTACCACTTGCAAATTAAATGTCAATGAAACTGTTGGGAGGTGGGATGAGGGAAGAGTCCAAGCAAAACAATGTCTTCTCAAGGGGTCTCTTGGCAGAGAGGTCAGCCCAGAAAGTTTTGGCGACAGAAACAAAGAAGCATGTAGACAGAAATGAGAGATAGGCTGAGAAATACTAACTGCATGGTTTTTGATGGTTTTGTTCAATGAAGGTTTCTAAGATTCGGTAGCAATACTTTTTGACTTGCCTTTGTACCTTTTATGTATATGAATGAATGTTCACAAATACGAACGATGTTGCTAATTGCTGTCATGTCCGTTCGTCTCATGGTGATCATATGTGTGCAGAACAGAACTGCTCCTTACGGTGTTCACGGCTGTCACCTTTCAGAAGTAGATTCCCAGGCCTTTCTTCAAGGGCCTCTAATTGAGCTTCAGCTGCCAACCTTTGGGCTAGAATTTGAGCACATAACCATTTACTTTCCACCTAAGATTGTATTTATGCATTATCTTTTCATTGAATTTTTCCATGAACTTTTTAAACCCCTCTTGTATTTGCAGATATACATATATATACACATATGAGGGGGCACGCCCCCCCACCAAGTGGAAATAATCTCCACTAGGCGGAGTTTTTGTAGTAGTTCTTTTTCCCGCTAGATGAGCATCAAGTGACTCGCTCTGAGTTAGTGGAGTCGCCTGGGAAGTTTCTCTCTGGTCACAGTGAATTTTTTTGTAAAAGCACTTTCACTAGAACCTCGTTTTTTTGTGATGGCCAATTTAAGATAACAGTGTGCAGCTGTGAAATTTTGTTTCCTGATTGGGAAAAATATGAAATAAACTTGTGATATTGAACACACCTTACAAGGACAGTGCTATGGGAAAAACTCAAGCGTATGAGTGTTTTTCTTGTTTTCAAAAAAGGGAAATGTCAATTGGTGACAAACCTCGTCTGGACTCTGTCAACTTCCTGAGCAGATGACAATGTCATGAAAATCCATGCACTTGTGCTGGAAGACCAACGGCGGATTGTTGAAAAGATGGGGGAGTTATCTGGACCATCTTGGAGCTTGGTTCAGCAAATTTTAATGGAAGACTTGGGAATGAGAAGGGTCGCTGCAAAATTTGTGCCTTGGGTTCTGACTGACCAGGAAAAAAGCATCCAGTGGAAACATGCTGTGCTTTGAAAGAACAGCTCTGAAGCAAACCAGACTTTTCCCCAAGCTCATTAATGGTGATGAAACATGGTGCTGCCCTGTTTCCCTGAAAATAAGACAGTGTCTTATGCTAATTTTTGCTCCCAAAGATGCGCTAGGTCTCCTTTTCAGGGGATATCTTATTTTTCCATGAAGAAGAATACGGCACACATTTATTGTTGAACACCAAAAAAGGAAATTTATTACCTGTCTATGGTACG